TAAAACCGGGTGAGTTTTAGGATGCGGCAACGTGACAATAATTTGCATAATTATCTCAAGTTTTCAGTCAGATCCACCTTTTGCTTTGCCCTTTTTCATGTTCTGTTTAAAGGACAAAGACAGCCGGATTCCCAACTCAAGGTTTCAGAATGGTTGTCCACAAACCAATCTGTAGCACTACAGTGGCTTCTGCTAAAGCTACATCCCTACTCAGCCACTCTGATCAGTTTACGGCACATAAACCAGTGTTGTTTGAAACACTCCAGCGGACCAATCAGAGCAGACTAACAGGTCCAGGCGGACAGTCCGACAGAAATGTACAGTATAAAGAAAAATAATGGGTTTTGGAACATGAAAGCACACAAACACGTTCAAGTAGACCCTAAAACTAAAACGATAAACCCGTAAATATGCATCACATAGGCTCTTTAAAAACTGCACACGTGAAAGAAGAACTGAGACGATCGGCTTCCTTTTTTAACCTGAATATTTTTAGGTTTGGAGGAGATAAAATCGAGCAACAATTAAGGAGAAGAGAGTCAAATTTAGAAAAAGTTAAATACAAAAACATAATTTTGAAGAGTTTCTTCTCCTTCAGGTTGCTGTGACTTCTTGGGAACAACTGCCTCAACTGAGCCACTAAAACATTAGACGACTATTATTATGAGTGTTTCATCATTAACACACAGATTTCTATCTTTTTGCAAACTTAACTCAAGGCCTACAACATCCCCTGAGCTTTCAACAGCATCACACAGTCCGTCTGACATGACTAATGAAGCTTGTTGTAGCCTCTATGTTTAAAGACAAGGAGGCAACAAACTACTAAGATTATACGTCTGTGAAGATTCTCCAGGTCCTGGTTATTCTCATAGATCAATCGTAGCAACTGGACTTGTTCCTTGAAGACGTTCCACCTCTCATCCAAGAGGCTTCATCAGTTCTGACTGACTAGTTGGGAGTTCCACATGCTTAAGGAGCCATTAAATTACAATACTAAGATTATACTACATTGAGCGTTTTCTATAACCAAGAAAATTACCTTGATGCTCCATTTGAACAAAAACCAAGCAGACGAGCAGTTTTCAAAGTGTACAACAGTTTTATTGATCAATGATCAACTCAGGCTTACATGATTACAAGTATACAATAAATCACCGAAACTGTGACCAGTGAAGACACGTCCTCCTCTCCCCCCTTCCTCCTGCCGTCCCTACCGAGGCTACGAGTTCTGGTAAAACCTACGCTGAAACAAAAACACCTGTAAAAATCCGCCCAAGTGTCAACATTTAAAGTATCTCATCAGCTCTCCTCGGATTTAGTCTTTTTTTTGTTTTTTTTTTCAACCCAATATGGGTCCTCACATATAATTTCGGAACGCAGGACTCGAGCTCGGCGGCTCTTCGTCTGCCTCTCGGGAGCTTTAAGGTTAATTACAGTCGGCTGCGAGTTAATCTGCGGTTATGTTCGCTAACGGTCAGAGAGGAAGAAGGAGGGAGACAGAGGAGGGGGAAGAAAGACACATCATTAACGGCCGCTCCTGACTTTCCATCCACACATATGGCACTCATGTTAACACGTATACACAACAACAGGCACGTGCATGCGCGCAGACCGTCGTCCTCGCTCTCTCCCGGCCGCCGCGGCCCACGGCGTGGCCACGTGTCCGGGCGCGGCGCCGTCCGGTATTTTTACACGACTGTACAACCGTTGAGTGGCTCTGAAAACAGCTCCAACATGGCACTAATAAAAAAACTCTACATCTATAAGATCTGTCGCTCTCGGTAAAGTCCTCGCTCGTTAGAAGGTGTTTGATAAAGGCTGGCTTCACAAAGCGGAGCTGGGCCAGAACCACAGGGAGTCGAAAATTAAACCGTTGTAGGAGTGAGACCCGCTTCATCTGGAGCCGATTAGAACTGGAGTTGGTTTTTAAACGCTGCTCAGCTGATGTTCGTCCATTCATGTTGTTGCGACCTCGACGTCTTTCACCCCAGTTCCTTCTGAAGGATCCAGAGACGTTCCCAGGCCACATCAGACATGTAACCCCTCCATCGAGTTCTAGCCCAGTTCTGGGTAAACCTCCAAAAGAACAACCAGCGATCTGAAACACCTCATCTGGTTCCTTTCGACAGAAACTCTGAGATCCGTCCAGACGTCCAAGTGCCTCACCCCACCTCCTCCAAGGCTGAGCCCATGATCGAGGGAACTCGTTTCGGTCGCTTGTATCCGGACCTTTCACCACAAGAGTCCGGCACAATGCCCACGTTAACGCACCGATCCATCGGTCCTGTCCGTGACATTTTATTCCAGAGTCCTATAAAGGAGTGTCCCAGTGATTGTCAAACCAAAGGAGCAAAGCAGATTCCATCCCAGTTCTTGACCCTTGCCGACCATCCGGTCCACTTTTGTTTTGTGGACCAGGAGAAAGTCTACAACCGTGGAACTCTGCAGGAGTGCTGTGGTGTTTTTTTAAGAGCTAATCAGTCCTTGTACAACCAAAGTAGGAGATGTGTTCGTCGTCTCGGCACAAAATCAAACACGTTTCCACCGAGTGTTGGACTTTGTGAAAGTTGCTCGTTGTCGGGTCGGAAGTGAAGGAAGTGTCTCCGGATCTTGTTCACGAGTGACGAAAATGTGGCTGACGCTTTCCTTTGACCTTTCCCGTTTAACCTAAGCGCTGTTAGTTCATGTAAAATCCCAGGTACAGACTTAGAGCAGGAGTGCGTTCACGTGTATAGATCAGTTCATTCAGCCGGAGACGAAACAAACGAGAGTTCAACAGGAAGACGGTTATTCACTAACCAGCTGTGGTTATATCACAAAGAAATGTCACTGAAGGCAAGCGATGCAGCACAAAGAGCTCATGAAGAAGAAAAAAAACAAAACATTCTTATCAGCGGTAGTAGTTGCAGCTGTAAAGGAAAACGGTAACAGACTTTCTGGGGCGTCTTCGCATCAGTTTGACTGAGCGGACATCGTTTGTACAAAAACAGCCACGTCGCGATTTCAATTCCTCGTCTTTGTTGTTGTTCTGGAATTTCTCTTCGGAGTAAAATGGCTTTTGAAAAGTGGCGTAACGGAGTGTTTGTGAAACCAGCCTTTAGACTTACTTAAACAGTATACGTTAGGCATCGTCGTCAGTACGGTTCTTAAATGGCAGGTGTGTCCGTAGGAAGCAGGCGGGACCGTCTACTGTCTGAAAAGCCAACAGCCGCAATCCTCCCTGCTCTGATTACAGGAGGAGCAGCAGCAGCAGCGTCCGGTCGGTCCAGTGTGGCGCGAGGCAGCTTGTCCCAGTAATGCACCGGTGATGAGGCCACGAAAGAGTGTGTAAATAACAATCAAAGAAACGGGTGCGGAGGAGGAAACCATGTGGGGAAAGTTAACGAGCTGCGGAGTTCATCTGGAGTCCTGTAGGGTTTGTTTAGCATGTCCACACCTGAGAGAGACACACAGGGACAGTTCATCAGAGGAGGCAACAAGGTTTTAATCAAACAAAGAGCTCATGAAAACGTTTTTCAAAGTGCTTCGATTCTGAAAAAGATGGATGACACAGACAGCATGAACAAACTGCGTGGATCAGCTGGAGGTGAAAACGCCGCGTTAATGACTGATGATGAGCCGCGGCAGGACGGCGAGTCAACAAGCTACAGGACGTGAGAACGGACAGAGACAGATGCGCACGAGAGGCTGAGGCGATCCGTCGTACCTTGACGGTGCTGTCGACAGCTCCGGAGAAGAGGCGCCCTCTGGAGACGGCGAGCGCGGTGACGCTGCCCTGGTGTCTGAGCAGCGTCTGCGTACAGATCATGTTGTCCATGCTCCACACCTACACAACACACACACAACGCTGTAAATGTGTTTTCTCTTTATAGGCAGGACAATTCACAGCATCCGAAACTGCACTAAACAGTTTTTAAATAACAATACTGCACAGTAAAAACACTCAAAGTAAACATGCTGTGGTCAGTTTTGTACTTGTGACAGATAAAAATTTAAAAAGAGAGAGAAAATAAACTAAAGTTAATTCTGTTCTTCATTTGTTTTATTTATTTTCTTTAAAAAGAACTAAAAGTACTGTTGAGGTGTAGGATTGATGAGCAGCGTCAGTAGGAGCAGAAGCACCATTAAACTCCTGATGCTACCCATCAGTAACACAACAACGGACACGCCGTCCGTCCTCACCCGGAGGGAGCGGTCGTAGGAGGCGCTGAACACTTTGGTCTGGTCGGGGGTGGAGATGACGGCCAGAGCGTAAACTGTTCCCACGTGACCCGTCAGAGTCCGCACCTGCTCTTTGGACTCAATATCCCACACCTACAGAGGACACACACACACACACACACAAAAAAAAACCATTCATCACAACACAAACACCGCTGTCGTCTGTGGCTGGTTATGAAATCAGTCACTACACTTTATACAGTGTGTTCCTCATTTTGTGGTGCCGTCCAAAGTTACAACACCCTGTATAGTGCACTTATTATGATGCATTGTGGGACAGTTTGTGTGTCAGAGGGGAATGGAAGACAGACGAGAGAGCCAATCGGTGGCATTTCCACAGATTTCTGATGACATATTCTATTGTGTTCAAATGTGTTTTATCTTTTCTATTTGTGTAGCTTGTCGAAATGACAACAATCATACCAATAGATAATTATCATATATAGGGAAAACTAAATTATGTAGTGTGGGTATATGTTATATGTGAATTTATATATATGAGATTGTAGTATGGTTTAGGCATATATGTATATATGACATGTATATATAGAATGTATGGTTGACATATATGTATATAGAAATACAGAAAATACAATCTAATAATGAAATGATAAAGCACAAGGTTGATTGACAGAGTTTCTCATAATGTATATATCAAAATGTGAGGAATTGTAAAGCTCACTTGGCTTTTGTTTTGCTTTGTTTTGACAAATATTTTCTGTTTTCTCGTATGTATAATTCTGTTGCTGCAGCTAATGGGGATCTTAATAAACTAAACTAAGCTAAACTAATGAGTTATGGTGCAAAAATATTCAAATTAAAAAATAATAACTAACATGTGCAGATGTATCACAACACAAACAAAGAAAAAAAGTTGTTTTCATTCATTCATTTTGAAAATATGCTCAGTATAACATGAATTTATCACAAAGATGTTGGTCGGTTTACAACCACAGCTGGTACTGATAATGTAATTAACAGTGTCGAGACTTGAGAAGTGTCCTAAAGTGTATCCCTACATAGTTCACTATATAGTGGACCCTAGAGAGGGAATGAGTGGATGACACAACCTATGTGTCCTAAACAACATCGTGACCTGAAGATTTGTGCATCTGTGGAAGACTGTTCCACTTTTAAACATCATGTTACTGTAATGCGGATGCACCATAACAAAAATGAACTCAGCCGAGTATAATCAAGATCAACAACAACCTTGAGTGTTGTGAAAAAGGGGAAGACGTGGTTTTACTTATGAGGAAGGAACAAAGAAACATGAAACGAAAGCAGAAGAACAAAAGGTGTAACCAGCGATAAGAGTGTGTTCATGGGAGACGGTGCGTGTCCCTCACATGGATGAGGTTCTCGTAGGTGCCGCAGACGATGTGGTGGTTGGTGACGGCGATGGAGTAGACGCTGCCGCCGCTGGTCTGCAGGACGTGGACGCACTCCAGGGAGCGGATGTCCCAGATCTGACAGGAGAGAGGCAGAGGGAGTGAGAGGGAGGTGGCTGGGTGAGACGGGACGGAGAGGAGCACGGTGAGGAGAGAGAGTTAGTGTCCTCGACCCAAACGCACAGGAAGTCAACTGTTCAGTAGCTGGAAGCTGTCAAGTATCATCGCCATGGCAACACACGGCGGAGCGAGTCGAAGCAGCGGGTCCGGCGGCCAATCAGAGCGCAGTGCTGAAAACAGGCCACGGCACGAAATCCTTTACATTTCATCCTCCCTCAACAAACCGAGCATCATTATTTACCACAAGCAGCTGAGCGTCAGAGCAAAACGCCACTTTCTGATGATTCAGTCCATAAAATGTAAGAACCAGAGTCCAAAGTGATGTCTGTAGACGACTGATTCTGTCAGGACGACAGTCAGAAAGCTCAAACTGAGAAAAGAGCGCAAACTCTCACATTAAGGAAACTCTAATCCAGAGAATGGATTCTTACTTCTAAACTGGTTTAGAAGGGCTGGTCCGAATAGCTATTTCTGTTCTCTGGATATTCGGCCCAATTAATGACGAATATCCCCAACATTTGGGGGGTGGATGGGGGTAGCTGCTGCGCGGTGGAGAAACCACTTTACCTGATGTATTCTGCTACAAGCCTAAAATTAAACCAACTGTAAAATCTAGTCTTTGTGGGCTGTTTCTTTGTGTTGCTGTTACATCCTATTTTGCACAGCTGCAACGTCGGTATGCTTCTATCGCCTCTGGGGATTAGTGGGTTTTTTTAAAATCATTTTAGGGTCAATGGCTAAAAAAAAAAGTGTGAAATTCTAGCTTAATCAACCAGCAAGTCCATCACTAGTGGTGTGAAACGTCTGACGTGACAACAGCAGAACATACGAGAGATGATCAGATGAAGCAAGTTTGACAAAGCCGGGCTTTCTCTGTGTAAGCCGGCTCAATAAAACCTAAAACTCCAGTCAGAGATGACGGCCATCACGACGGTGATTATCAACTTTCTTCATCAACTCAGATTCTGTGCACACAGAATTCTAATTCACAGAAAAGACATGCGACTCTTCTTTCACACAAAAAGGACCAACAGTGTGTCGCCTACTGAAGTCAACAGGTTGATATAACGGAGAGCAACAAGGAACGTCAACATTTATGATGGTAAAACAGAAGGTAGTAAACTGTTAATCATGTGTTAATATATTTTACTGATCCATCCAGCGACTTATTTTTAACACGACCAATAAAATGACACATTTTCCAATCTGCTGTATTAGCTGCTCTACCAGCAGTGTAAAAAAACTTAGCTGCAAATCAGGATCAAACACAAATACCAAAGAGTAAACGATAAATTCAAACACTTCACACAACCCTGTGAGCATCATATCGAAGAGGCGAGCCAGAATAAAGTTTCTACTTGGACAACTCTGCATTTTACTTGTGCGAAGGACCCCATTGGTCTCATTAAATCACTGCAGTCTTGTTGCAGCGCTTTTGTCGGTCGGTTTCAAATCTGTGGTTTGAGATTTGTAACGAGGCATCTTCCTTCGTCTCTGCCTTATGTTTCCTGCCTCTGTTTTGATTCTATCCCACACTGGGCCCAGCATTAAACAGCAGAAATTATTTATTACGCAACAGAGTACAAGCGAGCATGGGCCCAATTTGTCAAACATAAATATCTTTAAAAAAAAGCTAATTTCCTGCAGATTTTTTTCTGTCTGGATAAATTACATTCAGAGATCAAACAGTCTTTTTGTGGCGTCTCTGCGTCACAGTTGTGGAATTGCCAGAAAAACTCAAAAGAATCCCTTTTTTTAACTGAATATTGCCAGCGTTCGTCTGATCCACATCCGCGTTTCTAAACGACTCCTCCAGCTAAGTAATGGCTGGAGACTAACCGCTCCGTCACAAAAAGAAGCGCTGTCGACTTTGTCTGCGCTTTCATCCGCCTTTCCTCATTCCTCATCCTTCCACAGACGTCCCCCGTTCCCAGATCCAGTCCCCCCTCTCTCTGCCGTCCCTCCCCTTCGCCTCCCGTTGCCGTCCCTGAGGTAGTCATTAGTGACCGACTGCAGCCAGACGCCAGGACACACGGACACGCTGAGTACTTTCATCAGCGAGTGAATGAAGCTGACAGAGAGAGACACAAAGTCCTGTTTATATAGAGGACAGAACCCAATTACTGGCCACAATATATCCCAACAGCTTTAACTGCACACACGGTCGCTGCAGCAGGAGTTCGGTCCGGCCAGCGTGTCCTCACGACTGACAAAGAAAGGAGACTGCTGCTGCACATAGCATCTGAAAACAGAGCTGAAGACCTCGACCTTGGTCCCAACAACAAGTACTTCAACTTATTTTTCCAAAAGGATTCCTCATAGAAGTGTTCTCCCTGTGCTGACAGTGGATTTTTAAAACTTCTTCCAGCTATTTTTTATTTGTATTTCTATGCAGTGACCAAGTAAATCAAACTGGGTTTTAAAATTGTGAAGTCGTTTTCTCTGCTATGGAATTTGGATTCTTTTGATGCTGTGTGTGATCAGACTGACACCATAGTTTTTATTGTGCCGGTCTTCTGCTATTTTCCACTGTTACCCTTCTTCCCTGTGAGCTTTGTGCTCTAGCTTTTATTTTGTCCGGACTCGGACCCTACATCTCACCACCCCCCACTTCCTTTCTACTGGTGGGGTAGCTAGGTGGCTACTCACCTACCTGCTACAGACGACCTCCAGCTGTCGACCCTGTCCCACCTGGAAGGTATTTTTTTTCTGGATCCAATCATCCTCGTACAGCTTTGAACCCCTCCACCGCTGTTCCATCGCTAACGCTGGCCGGCTAGAAATTGGCAAGGCGTGGTAGCCTTGATTCGCTACGTTACTCCAGCTTGCAACTCCGCCAACTCTACAGATGATTTTTAAAGATATCTTAAAACATATCAAAAAGCTCTTATCAAAAATTCTTTTATTAGGTTCTCCTTTTGTTGACTGCTTTTATAAACTGTTTTAGTAATATTAACTACTTTTGTTTTACCCCATAGCACTTTGAGATTGCGAAAATATAAGGTGCAATATGAATCAAATTAATTATTATTATTATTATTATTATTATTGGATGAGCGTCTGCTGAAGGCACTGATCTGCACTAACTGAGTAAACAGAGTAGAGTTCACTTTTACCGAATCAGAATCCTTTTAATGTCATTACGCCCCCAAAAAAGTACAAACGGATCAAACCAATTCGATGTAAAATCACAAACGAGCAACGTACATGCAAAATATTTTCGGCACTTTGCAAGTTACCCAAAACAGTAAACTAAGCACACAAAGAAATTTCTCCTCATTGGTGGGAAGACAAAGGCTGAAAAGAAAGATCGGTAGTTCAAATAATAAATAAATTGATAAAGCTGTTCTGCACATTCTGGCATCCAGGCAAGATGCACTTGCTTAAGGCAGTGAGTTTCGCATCTCGCCATGAAGTAGGAGCCCTCTAGTATTAATGATGCTACGTATTGGGGGGAGAGGTCAGCATCAGTATGTTTCAGCATCAGTATGTTTCCAGTGAAAATCAATTCATGACTTCCAGCCCACACAAACAATACGAAACACGAAAAAAGTTCTAACTCCACAACTATATAGTTCACTGTCTTCTCACATGTTTGAAGCATTTATTTTCTGACATGCATCGTGTGTTTAGAAACAAACCGTTTGGATTTTCTACACACAGACTTCAACACCAGCCACCTTCCAAATCCCACTCAAATCTGTCACTGGCATGTAAACCTGCAGGACCCGCCAAACACGACGCTCTCTAATCTCCACTCTGCTGCCCGTCACGACCAAAACCAAACTTGATTTTTGGAATTTTTTTTTAGAAAAGGATGAGAAAGTATATTACGTCTGATAAGAAAGACCTTTCACTTTACGGATACGACACGTGCAATGATAATGGCAGAGCTCGAACAGTCACAAGAAGGTTCCTTTCTTACCAATGACCGTCAGTTTTGCAGGCTAGAATTACTGATGCCACCAGCAGATTTTATCAGCCACTTAGAACAAGCTAATGCTAATGCTAAAATAGGTTCAACTCTTGTCTTGAGCTGACTGAAGTTTACAGCGGATTCATTTAAAAACAAGCAGTCTGTAAAGATGTGCACTTAACGTCTACAGACTGAGGTTATGAAGCTACATGCTACAGCATCATCACGAGCTGCAGATTCATACAGAAGTAACAGCTGTTTGTGAACTACAGTGTACAGCTACTAAGTCCAACATTAGAAATAACATTTTAGGCAAAATGTTATGAGCCTAATGTGGAAAAACTGACAACAAAAGGCAACGATACGAAACAGAGAAGGATTCAAGAATGAGATTTAACTGCAAACATGTCACTTTTGGCTCGACATGCAGGGATATAAACCCCCCAAAACCGAATAAAGAAGATGCAGAGCTGCTATTGTTTCTCAACGCTCCGACATCCTCTGCAGGCCTTCTGCCCAGCTGCTCCTGCTGCTGCCTGGCCATCTCTGCTGCTTTGGCAGGTGAAACACAGGCTTGAATAATCAAAAGCGTACAGTAACACCTCTCCATTCCTTTCCACATACCTTGATGGTCTGATAGGAGCCGCTGTACAGGTGGTTCTGGGAGGCCACCAGCGCTCTGACCCAGTGGTTCAGACCCGTCAGCTCCTTCTTCAGCTTCAGCTCCGTCCCCACGATGTCCCACACCTACACACACAAACACAAGTAAGATTCAATAAAGCTGAAACCAAAGGAAGCTTGAGTTGGTGTTGTATAATTCTGCATCCAGTCTGTTTACATCCATGTCTGACTCATAACAAATGTGTTTATGTTGTTTAATACAAACAAAAAAAATAATCAAATTCCTTCTGCGTTCATGTGTTTGGCCAGTAAAGGTGATACAGAGTTGTAGTGATGACAGCAAACGATGGTTTAAATATGAACGCTGTTACAAAAAAGCTACAGGTTCTGAAATGTGGACCCAGTGGCCCAGATGGTCCGTAAAATTAGAACAGTGTCAAGGTGGGCATCTGGGATTAGTGTCACCAGTGACGTGCGGTGAGAGGAAAGAAAAAAAAATATAATGATAAAATAATATAAATGCAGGTGAGGCAGCAGTGAGCCAACATCGCCAATAGAACGATTCAAACACATTTAATATATAAACTGATTTTCCACAGTTCAGCTGATGTATATAATCATAGACAGTGTTTTTTTTGTCACCAGCTGTATGTGTGTAACGTGTTTCGTGTGCTGAGCATCATAAACGGCTGAGAGGAGGTTCTAGATGAGGTAGGCAGTTCTCTGGCCTCATGGCAGGGGGCGCTATGATCCCAGAGAGGCTGCAGAGTGCGTGACAGCAAGCTAGACTCCAGGTACAATATGCAGTTAGCAAGTCAAGTGCAGCGAAGGAAGATAAGGAGACTTTTACAAAGAAGTAACGGATATTTTTGTCCAGAAGGAGCGGAGCATGGACTTTGTTTAAAGGTAAGACCGCAATAACTTTTAAAAAAGAAAAAATGAAGCATGTGTTTTGTGGGCTACAGCTTGTATGTGTAAAGAATGCAGATATGAAACACAACCCGTAAACTGCTGCCAATCAAATGGCAAATGAGCTCCTCTGTAGAGTGCATGTGTTTGTAAATCTGATGGAGTCGGCGCCTCACCAGTCGTGAACCTCACCGCACGTCACTGAGTGTCACTGCAGACTAAAACCACCAGACACAAAAACAGTTTTTATCCCACTGCCATAACCCTACTGAACAGCTGAGCCACTCCAAGCCACAACTGCTATTTGCACTAGTGTACATATACCTTTTTCTACTAGATGTGTAAATTCTTGTATATATTTGTCTTATTATCTTGTTTTATTTTTTATTAATATTTATTGTATTTTATTCTTTTCTTTCTTTAGTTATTGTACTTTATTTTATTTTTTAATTTTCCTATTTCTATTATTCGTGCAAATTCCTAGGGCGACACCAACAGCCGCATTCCTTGTATGTTGTGTACGTACTTGGCCATTAAAGCTGATTCTGATTCTGATTCTGATTCTGATTCTGATTCTGATTCTGATTCTGATTCTGACACAGCATCCACACAAATTGAAAGAAACTTGCCCAAAACATTCCTGAGACATCACATTAGTGTGATGGACGGACATCCTCACCCACACGGAGGGTTAAACATCTTCACTAAATTTAAACTTCACGAGAAAAAAGCCTTGATATAATATTAGAAAGAGGCACTTCTGCTGCTGCTGCTGGGAGACGAAAACAAAACGAACTATATTAAAGCTTTCTGTGAAATGCTTACTAACGGACTGGCGACGACACAGTTTTCACTTCCCTTTTAAATAGTGGACTCATGATACACTAACAGTAAGTCATCGCCGTTAACACACCACCACCTATTATAAACTGAGCACACACACAGACACACACTGCTGGTGAAACAGTGCATGATGTCACTGAGCTGCTCGAGTTGGGTAAGAAAGGAAAGTTTCCTGTAAAAGAACATGACACACGACCACAAGCTTATCTTCTTTCCATCTTTCACTAGCTTGTAACCATGGTAACAAGGACTCCAGCCTCTCCGCCTCTCCTCACCGGGCTGCATGTTTACACTCATCTTTTTATGCTTAGAGTCACTTCTCAGTTACTTTACAAACAGTTTCTAGTAATGACATACGTACCACAAGTTCTGCTTTTTCATTGGGACTTACTTTCTCCACAGATCTCTGCAGTAAAGCAGCTAAACAACCACATCTTCCTCCGAAGAAATCAAGTCGTGACCCAAACACCCTCAGCAATTTCAGACCAATTTCTAACCCTCTCCACTGAAGCGGCTCTGGTCGAGGTGAAAAATGACCTTATGGCTGCTATTGACTGACCAATCCTCTGTGCAATGCCTCGACCTGTTCTCACAGCTTTCGCATTGTTTCGTTCTTCTGTCTGACGAAACTCAATGTGTACTTCTTAATAACAGGCTGAGTCCATTCTAGGTCCTCTAAGAACAGAAAATCTTCTTTTGTCATCGTACATGTGCAACCAAACTGTATGCTCTTCTCCTCTATAAACTGATGTCACAGATAAATACAGTCGAGACTCGATAATCTGACACTAAATGTAAAATCTTCTTATATGTCGGATAGCAAGACTGTTGGATTGTCAAGACGGAGGTCGAGATGCAAGGAGGGCTTGATGCTGGAAGGCTCATTTGTTGTTAATATATATTGTCTCTGGATATTCAGGCCCAAATAATGATGAATATCTGAACATTCGGCACAGTCGGGGGACACTTCCACCCCGGGGAAGTGCTCTGAAGTGGCCGGGACGCACAGGCAGTACTTGGCTGCTGATGCTAATTTAGTTAGCGGTCGGTCGCAGTTCTGTTTCCTCCATCGGTAGCGGTGGGGGAGTGGCAGATACGCTCCACCGTTACCATCCATGTTTACTTCCGTAAACACTGAGCACGCTTGCTGCGTGTGACGTCGTCGTGTCCTCTTCTGTGCATGCGGGACACTTTTGGGTCGTATGAAGTTCACACAGCAGATCACATACAAGTCGCATTTAAGTGGAAATGTGAACGAACTCGCAAGAAATCACATTTCACAAAAAAATCTGGATAGCAAGGATTTCGGATTGTTAAGGGTCGGATTATCGAGTCATGACTGGACTATTATTTCTAGTTAAAGGGTCCATTTTCTTTGCACACTTATAAATGCCATTTCAACTCAGCAAATCCTTCAGTCTCTCTAACCTTTCAATGTCAAACGCAGATAAAACTGAAATAAAAGAGACCACAATCTGAGGATCTTGGTTGCTGCTATCTCTGGAAGAAAAACTTTTCAACACCTCCATAATATGTAGCAGGAATTTATCTTATTCTGACATTTTCATCTGTGCCTTCATCTCTCTCTTAAACACAATCCTGATGCGATTTTACACGACTCATCCTGAATATGAAAACAAGGACTAGCACCAATACACCAGCTATGTTTGCCTCTAGTTACTGATGTCTTCCCCCCTCAAAAAAAATCTGGCTTCAGGCGGTTTTCATATCACAATGTCTACATTTGAAACAGATTTCCCACTTTAATTAAATGTAGAATATCAGTTGGATGGTTTAAAAGCTGTTTTTTGCCTTTCTTTTATTAAGCTCATGAATCCATCACTTGTCTTGTTCTTGACACACAAAACCCTGTAAATCAACTGAAGCTTGTGCAGAATCTTTAAACACGACGGATAAACATCTCGTGTGAAGACGTACCTTTATGGCCTTGAGGGAGCCGCTGAACAACATGTTGTGGGAGGAGACCAGCGTGCACACGGGGTTGTCATGGGCACGAATAGTATTGACTTTCTGCAGGGTCTGGATGTCCCACACCTACGCAAGATGCACAGACACACAACACAAATGAGGAGACACAACTTCTACAGTTATGCAAACAATTACACTTGGAACTGCACGCGAGTGCCTCTAAAAAGAGAAGTCGAACGGTAGGTGCCACTTACGATGATGGTGCAGTCCGCCGAGCCGCTGTATAGCCTGTTTCTGTGGAGATAAAAACACGTATTACTGAGTCACGCTCGGTGGAAGGCGCGTCATTCCCAGTTGACAAGAATCTCAGCATGTGTGGATTGTGTTACCCCTGGATGCACAGAGCCAGCACGATGCCATCATGACCCTCCAGGGTTTTCTGACACTTGTAGGTGGTGCAGGTGTCCCACACCTGAGGGGAAGACGATTAAACACACTGCTTAAAACTTGAGTGAATCTGCATGTTTCACAATCTGTTTATGTGGGTATCTTAACCTTCAGAGGTCCACCGTCACGATATAATCATACGACATTTACGAGACGTCACGACAGAAAAACGAGCGCACATACGGCGATGACGTCAACTTCACTCGAAAGTGCCGACTTTAAACTCTCTCCCAGTTTTTGTTTCATGTCCATAGACAGTACTTCTGGACAGAAACTATTTTCAGGAGTGGCATAGATAAACAAGAGAAAGAAAGCCACACCTGCTTTGTGTATAGTTGTAAATATTTGTATTTAGTTTGATTTTATATCAAATTTATCTTTTCATGTTCGTATCTGCAACCTACAGTTACATTTCCACCTTTCAAAATGCTTCGTTAAGCATGTTTGTGGTTTTTATTGTCATAAATAATACATTTCTTCAAATCAGATTTTGTATTTTTTGTGTGTGTTGGAGCCCAAATGTTAATATCGTAGGTTAAAGAAGTGAAAAAAAATAATAGTCAGACTGTATAGGTGATGTTGTGCTGAAAAAAAAGATCCCAAACTTGGGCACAATAAACATGTTTTTATGTGGTATATAAAGACAAAACTAAAAGTATGTAAAAATGGCTAAAGCAGGCTGAGACTTTTAAGGGTTAAGGCTGCAACTTGAAGCTATTTCTCTTTGTTTATTTCATGTGCACTTGAGTAACCTTGATTTGTTTTTCTGCGGATGAAAACGACTCTATGATTCTAGATTTCCCTCTGGGCCGTGGGTGGAACGCATCAGAATGAAAGTGGGTGAAAGTTGCGTTCAGGCCAAAAAAAGAAAAAAAGTTTTCATTTGCTTGCGTGTTGCTACCTTAATGGTTTTATCAGAAGAGCCGGAGAAGAGCAGGTCTCCGGTGGAGTAGACGCAGAGACACCAGACGGGACCCTGGTGGCCGACGAACGTCCCCTTACACTTGAAGATCTGCTGGGGGTCGTACGCTGCACACAGGCAGAGAGAGACGGGTCAGACTGGATGTGTGCTTTTTAACGGAAACTAAACGAGAGAGGAGCATAACTGGTGCTGCTGAGGTCAAAAAGGGACAAAGAGGTGGATGAAACAAGGAGAAGAGAGAGGTTTGTAAGAGGGAAAGGAAGAAGGAACAGGCGGGGAAGGCAGTTAGAGAGCTACGATTTGCATTTCAAATCAGCGCAACTTTAATGGCTGAATCATTCAAAACTTGACAGGCTCCAGTTCTCTGCAAAGATCTAACTGCTTCACCGCTGAAAGATGTGAAAGAGGACAGACAGGCGGATACTTACAGCCCAGGATTCCCATGTTGAGCCTGGCGTTGATGTGGGACAACTCATCCTGCAGAGACACAGTCGACGTATATCAAGCGTTTCACAACCTCAGATAATTACACACACAAATCTGAAAACTCCAGAGCTTTAATTCTGGAGGTATGAATCAAAAATCTTTATTCTCACACATGAATATCTCTGGAAGGTGCACGCAGACACTTACGTTAAGCATGGAGGCATCTCTGCGAAACTCCATCAGGTCCTCGCTGAGTTTGCTCTGGTTCTCATCCAGAACATCTGAAACACACAGAACAGCTTTAACTGAAAGATAAACTGAACATTTCACCAATTTACTACTGTATTTGTGCAACATTATCGGGCTCAGAGAAGATCATTTATAAGAAAAGAAGCATTAGCATTGATGTAGCAGAAACAGATATTTGATTTTTATTTGATGACATTTTCTTCTTAACTTTGCAAAATTAAAAATGGGATGAGTTTCAATCTGCTGTTTGATATTTGGGCAAAAAGAAAAAATAGAAAAATCATTCTAATATATAACCAAAGTAGACTGGCTTTGCAAAATGTATTTTAAGTCCTAGATTGTTTGGTTAAATATGCAGGTAAAACCACATCTTACCGAATTTCAGTTCCAGGTTCTTCTCGAGCTGGTCTAACTTCTCAGACAGTTTGCCCAACATGGAGCGTAGGAAAGCAATGTCTTGGTCCTTCTGGGCCAGAGTCAGCTGCATCTCGTGGAACCTAAACGCAGCAAAAAGGCAGAAGTAAGGAGGATTACGTCAACAGACAGAAACCATTTAGTCTAACACATGTTTGGATATCAGCCTTTGAGGTTACCTGTCATCAGTCTGCTGCAGAAACTCCTTCAGACCCTCAAATTTACAAACCTCCAGGTGCGTCTCATACGTGTCCTGGTTCCCTATGAATGTGCAGCTGTTGGGAAGGAGAAGAGATAAATAAAAGGCAGAGTGGTGAAGCGGTGTGGATGAATATAAAAAAGCACCTGCATAACGATAGCTACGCGTCTCCTGCATGCCAAAACACTGATCACAGCGTTTTTTAAAAAAGGTGCAAGGCATGGACCTAACAGACGATGAAGAGGAGGAATGTCCTCCCAGATGGAAACCTGAGCTCAGTTTTGTGAAGACAATGAAAAAATATATGCAGCAGCAAAATCCCAAAGCTTTCTTTTAACATGCTTCTAGGATTTATGTGGCTACGAAGGCGGCTTTACGTTGGAGGTCGTGATTGTTCTGCAGCTCAGTGCGTGCTTTGGCTGACGAAGCACCAATTTGTTTGTTGACATAAACAACACACAGCTAAGCAAGAGATGGAAAACAAAACATGGGTCTATGTATTTATATAAACTGACAAAGAATAGAGAAAGCAAAATCAGAGTTTTTAAGACTCACCCGTATTTGGAGTGTGGACATTTGATGTGCTCGCACTCTTTGAGGTGAGCCTCCAGGTTCATGGTGAGCAGCGGGGGGCAAGAGGGGTTGTTGGGGCATCGCACTGGTCTGTAGTCGCAACTGGCCTCGTGTTCTCTGCAGAGAGTTGGAATAAAGAGAAGGAAGGAAAGAAATAAACTGGCATCAACGACTTTGCAAATTCCATTTTACATTCCGGCGGACCGCTGATCAAATCTTTGGTCCTTACTTGCGTGTGGACAGTTTGATGGTGAACGGGCAGCCCAGCGGGTCCACCTCGAACGCTCCAGGTTTGCCGGCCACTGTGGCTGTGGATGCCGCGGCGCCGGCTGCGCCGCTGGCTGTGGCCCTGCAGCCGTATTTACAGTGGATGAAGAGCTCTCCGATTTGCTCGGCTACTGCAATGTTGTTCACTACGACCGTCAGCTTTGCAGCGTCCACTGGGCACTTGTCTGTAGGGAGCACAAACATTACGGTGAGGATAAAGTGCACTCAAGATAAGGGCCTATTACTCTAACCAGCGCTCCTACTCACCTGAAGTCAAGGCACATCGTCTGCAGAAGGTGTGCTGCAGAAGGAAGAAAAAAAGTTTTGAGTCCTAACTTTAATTAGCAAAGATGAACAAGTGGCACAACATTCCTTCATCAATCATTCAATCATCTGACGGTTTCTTAACGTGTGACGCGTTCGCAAAAAAACACTCCAGCCTGTTGGGCAACTTGGGAAACGAGTGCTGCATCTACAAAGTCTGCAGGAAACGAAAGCTTGCTTAACTACATATTTATAGCTTCGCGTAATCAATGATTTTAACTTCCTCTTCCGCAGAACAGATGACGGCACGATAAAAACACAACCTGCTTGTGTTTCTTTACCTCTGCTGCTTGATGCCACACTAATTAAAAACCACTACATCCATGGTATTGTTTAGTACTTTCTAACTTGATGTTTGGAAGAAAATACTCCCAACATGATGTAAGTCATAAAGTCAGTCTACCATCTGATCATGTGGACAGTTATAGATGACTAATGTGTGTAAACTCACCACCAAAACCTGACCGTGTATGTGCACACATGCCATATTTGCACTGCAGTGGATGCATTATTGTGAACACAAAGGTCATTGGACTAAGTTACTCCTGTACGTAATACAACATTTTTTTTACTTTAGTTAGAGCAGACAAACTGTCTCCTCTATTACTTATACACATCTACAGTTGTGACTCGATAATCCGACACTAAATGTAAAACCTTCTTTTATGTCGGATTGTCAAGACGGAGGTCGAGATACAAGGAGGGCTTGATGCTGGAAGGCTCATTTGTTGTTAATATTCATTGTTCATAGCTGTTATAATAACTAGTAGGGCTGGTCCCAACAGCACTTTCTGGTCTCTGGATATTCAGGCCAAATTAACGATGAACATCCGAACATTCGCCGCAGTCGGGGGGGTACCCGTCAGAGCGTACCCCCGGGTGGAAGTGGTCAGAACGCACAGGCAGTACTCGGCTGCTGATGCCGGTTTAGTTAGCGGTCACACTTCTGTTTCCACCATCGGTGGCGGCCGGGGAGTGGCAAATACGCTCCACTAGCATTAAGTCCTGCAGTGTGAACGTAGCCAATCTGTGGGATTGTTCAGTCAGATAATACGCTGTTATCCTGATTGGTGACATTAAATGTCATGTCGGAGTCAGAATCCAAGGCTGTCGCTATGTTAAGGCTGTTTTTAATGGGTTCAGTTTGTTTTTCCTAAAAACCTGTCGGACAGCAAGGTTTAGGATTGTTAAGGGTCAGATTATCGAGTCACGACTGTAGTTCTTGCTTTGGTCAGCATTTTAAAAAAAACAAAAAAATAACAACAACAGAAACACATCACCATCCAAACTCTTTAAACACAGAGCAACTCTTTTACTGCAGCTCAACGCACTAAATAGTTCATTTAAAACCACTTGGAGCTTTTTTACAAGCTGTTGGACAACGCATCAAATAAAAAGAAGTAAATATCAGAGAGACAGAAGGAGAGAGAGATGGACAGATGGAGACAAGTATAGAAAAGACAGAACTCACCCCACATGTGGTGATGACGGGGTCCTTAAAGACGTTACAACACAGCTGGCAGCACAGTTTTACTGACGGCTGCTCAGCGAACACCTGGGGCTCCTGCGCACAAACACACTTGGTTTGTTAAACTGGTCCAAACTATGTCATTGTAAATGCGTTTGTGTATATCTGTTTAGCACGTGGGACGCCGTACCGTGTCCTCCTCCTCTTCGTGTAAAGAGAAAGTGGAGCGCAGCGACATGTTGGACTCGGAATGGAGCGAACGGACCGAGATGGCCGAATCAGACCTCCGCGGAGTACCGATGGGAGGCTGAGAGGAGGAAGGAAGGAAGCAGCAGATTCCCACGTCGTTAACATCGTAGCATGTGAACACGCTGCACGACATCAATACACTTTCCCTACATAAGTTATTATGAATGTTATGACCTGTACAGGGGTATTTACCATTCCATCGTCATCATCACGGGGGGAGTAGGTCAGAGTGCTTGAGGAGGAAGGAGTTCTTCTGTGCGTCTTGTAAGTGCTAGATCCTTCTGCTGAAATCATATAACGGCAGAATTTACATGAAATTTCAAAAAGAAAAGAGGAAGAAAAAAGGAGAACATGGAATAAAAAGGAAATTATTGGTTACCTTTAGCTCCAGCAGCCACGGCTGAGAAGGTCGGGCCAAACGATGCCTCCATCCTGCTCTGCAACAGAGAAAGGAGGCAATGGATGGATGGAAAACAATTGTTATTATTATTATTACTACAACAGGAACAGGTGGCAGATAATGAACTTGTCTCACCCCGCTGCCAGAGTCTGCTGGGGGGGTGGAGGGGCTGCTGGGAGTGGTTGCTGTGGCGGCTGTTCCTCCGGAGTATCAGTTGTAGCGAGCCGTCTTGCCGCTGCTCATAACCCAAAGCGCACACACGTATGCGCGAGGAAACACTGGCGGCTCGCTGGACGGCTAGGCCTGGGAAAAGGAAGATATTGTGACACATAGTGCAACAAGAAAACAAATAAGTAAACATCATGTCTGGTGATCTCTCTCTGAGCAGTCCAACAGAAGCCCGGCTGAAAACAGGATAAGCGCATAATGCTTGCCATAAGTTGGATTTATGGTTAAACAAGGACAAAGAAAAAAAAAAAAAACACACACCCACACTTGGCTCAAGAAATGTTGGTGAGTGCCAGCGGCTGCACTCCAGCTTCAGGCGAGATGAGCGACAATGCAGTGAGATGCAAGTGAATCACGGAACAGTGCTGTTGTTGTTGTTGAGATGTCTGACCTACTTTGCCGGCCTCGGGCACGACCACACGATCAAACCCAACGATTTCGCTTCAATCACAGCAGCAAATTATCATCCTAATGACGAGCAAGTTTCTTTCTGCTCGGCCGGATCGTCTTCCGAAGTTTTGAGAAGTAACGCAGCAGCAGCAGGAGGTTCAAAGTTCAGACAGTTGTTTAGCAATTCAGCAGTTAAACAATTAAAACTCCTAAGTTATGACATTTCCTTTGGCTCATATGGCGTCATTTTTCTTGTTGACATAGTTACGCACATAAATACTGACCTGATAGACTAGTTAAGGACTTGTGCCACTCCTGAGCTTATCAAAGGGATCGCCCTTGACACAAGCGATCCAGATAACTACAACTATGAATACATTTTCCACATATTGCCGTGAGCAAATCATGTCGTCTTGCTGCCTCACAAAGAAGAATGCACGGTGCACAGGTGGAAAAATCAGATTACAAGTGACTTAGTGGAATAATTAGATTAGATAATTAATTGGTTAGTCAATGGACAATTAATAAACAATTAGGTTTTCAGCAGAAATGCCTAAAGAGACTGTTTTCCAATGCCCAGATTTTGCAGATTTTCTGTGTTCTAGGACAGTAAACTGAACATTTGTTGGTTCTGAAAGAAGAAATGTGAAACTCAGGCTTCAGAAAGGGTTTTTAATCAGTGCTCAAATGGTAATAATCCATTTTTTAATCCAGTTTTGTTGGTTGGGATTTCATCGACTCGAGCATAATAGACTATTTAGTTGATCAAATGGTGGGAACTAACAGAAAAATGTGAAGATCTCTCACTGGCGTCCCCGTACGTGGGCCGGTCGTGCTTACGGTCGTGGGCAGTTACTCTCCAAAGACCCGTTCTGTGCCAGGAAAAAACCCTGACATGACAATATCATTCACTATTTTTTTTAACACTATCCCGCCCAGAGAATAAACAGATTTATTAAATATTGGGTAATGGAAAGAACAGTGAGTGTCCTGACTTTGGACCAGCGCAGGCTTAATAAATACAATGCAGATGTCAGCAAATCACCAGGGACGGTTCCAGCGAGCAAGAGGAAGAGGATTGCAGAAGTGGCTGGTTTTCAGGAATGCTGCATGAACTTTGCGGTGGGTTGTCCAGGAATGCTCACACTTCATTGTACTTATCTGTGCATTACACAGCAACGCACTGGTTCTTTTTTTGACTCCCTTGTTGAAGTGAGGGATTCTCCTGGGACCCACACATGACTGAGAAAGCATGAAAACCAGCTGTCTTCACTGAACACTGAGCCTGATCAAGAATTTAATGTGGGGGGGGAACTTTGTTAAGTGGGAGGAAAAGTGACCAGCATCTGCAAACCCTCAACAAAAAACAGAGAGGGGGGAGGATGAGAGGCAGAAAGGGGAGGGAGGGAGGCACAAAGGGAAGAGGGGAGAAGTGACAGCCAAAAAGCAGTGACCCGGATAACTAGCTGCGGATGTAAACAGAAAGGTATGCGGGCTGTCAGCTCGCAGGGTAACGGGGGCTGCAGAATCCGCCAGTGAAACTATCCAGGATAGCTGTGATCTGCTCCAGTCTCTGCTCACAAGGCTGGAGATTCCCGTAAAAGGGGGTCCTCACGCAGGAAAAAAAGAAAGGGGGGCGGAACACACACAAAGTTGACTACAGCTAGCTAGCTACACGTCAAATATACGAGTCCGAGAGTTTAGCTCGAGTTAGCTACGACAAAAGGCGGCTCGTAACGCGGTTTCCCACCAGCTGTCACCTTGTCAAATTCAACGGTGCGAAACTGCGATAATTAGCGAGCTAAAGTGGCTTGTTTGCTAGCTCAAGTTAGCTAATGTTCCAGTTTTATTAGCAATCACTGCTACTAGCTACCTTTGGCAAAAACTCCGCTAACCGCCCTCTTGGATTCCGCGCTCTTAAGTAGCCAACAAGACAATTAATTTAAAAGTTAGCCGTTTCGGTTTAGTTTGTAGACTTACCATTGTTTTTTTGTCCCCCCCTTCTTACAACAGCGCAAGTCTGCAGACGAATTCCTCAATCTTCCTCTCTTCTGCCTCACGTACAGACAGCTCGGCCGCCGCGGTGCATTCTGGGACCTGTAGTGAGAAAGCGCACCCTGGCTAGTTCGCTCCTCCCCGCAGTGGGACTACGCTACCCAGAGCGCATTTCGCGCAGCTGCCAGTGGATTTTTGTGCGCAACATTCCCCCTAAATATACCCACGGTCCGTCCGGTTCCGCGTGGTTCTTTGCGGAGACCGAGACATCATGCGACAGCTACCGTCACGTTTACGCCGAGCACACGTGCACGGTGGTGTGATGTGGAGAGAGAGAGAGAGAGAGAGAGAGTGGAGCTGTCGGATACTGCAGCAGATGTTGGCGGGTTCACGGCAGATGCGCCGCTTTTCAGGGAGGGATGGAGGTCCAGATGAGGAGGATGAGACGGATGGATCTGCAGGTTGTGCAGCCAGTAAACGGATCTGAGGAAATGAGGCCCTCCGTGGTGTGCTGTAGCTCCGTCTGCATGGCCACGTTAGATGTTCTGTCAGTCTTTATTCATCCTGGTGGCAGATGTTGCTCAAAAACACGACATGACAATAAATGCAGTGCCCCTGAGGAAAACACTAAGATAATATAAATAAATAGAGAATAAGACTAGACCAGAAAAGTTAAAAAATAAAATAAAATACTGGAAATTATTCTGAAGTAGTAAAAGAATATCTCACAGGATAATGAAATGTTGCACCTAAAAATGAAATACTGCATCTGGAAATGAAAGAGTACACATAAAGTGAAATACCGCATCTAAAAAAAATGCAATACTGCAATTGAAAATGAAATATTACACATGCAGGATAATGAAATGTTGCACCTGATAATGTATGACTGGCCATTATTCTGACCAACATGAGAGCTCAGAAGGAGGGAAATGATTCTGAACTCAGCTCAGGGTTCGTGGCGTTGATCCGAGGTAACAGGTGGAGGCTGATGGTGCTCTGAAGTGACCCAGTCCGAGTCCAGTATTGATCAAGACCCTCCACTTACTTGTGGAATCCACTGTGTAGACAAACTAACAGACGTACAGGTGGCTGCTAACACGAACCGACAAGAGGACAAAGGAAGCTTTTGCTTCTTTTGTGGCTGCTGAAATGTGATCAGTGTGAATAATGAAGGGTTTTCCTGTCAGGGACCAATTAAAAAGTGGCATTAAGAGGTTCTTGGGGCAAACTAGTATTACCTGAAACCAGTGCTGGGATTTCACACACACAAAAGTAAATTACATCGGTTACTCTGCAGCATCGTCCAAGATTAATTGTTCCATAACTACCAGCTAACAATATAACACTGAACCTTACATGTGTGCTCATACTGGCACAATTCCCTCTCCTAAAACAGAGGACACACACAAGATATTTCCTTTATGCTCTTTAAATAAGTATTACCAACAACCAAAACTCATTATTGTGTATCCTAAACTGTGATAATACAAACAGAAACCATCAATAAAGCGTCAAACCTGATTATTTTAACCCCATTAGCTCAGTTTAGAATGCGGTTAGTATAAGTTTGCACCACGGTTCAGCAACAAAATGAAATACTGCACAAGAAAAGGTTCTTAGTTACATCCCACCACTGGACAAGCACCTTAAAACTGCACCTCCACACTATACTTTAACAAACGCAGCCTCATTTACAACTGAAACAGAAACATTTACTATTGTGGTCATTGTGCTTTTTTCTGTGCTTCTGATTCGACTTTTAAAAATGCTTTTCATAAATGTCCATTCAAAACGCAGTCGTTTTTTAAGCTAAAAATGAAACCGAAAGAAAATAAAAAGTGACTATTAACAGCAGCTTCTCCTTAAAACTAACAGAACCAGCACACTGTATTAGACACACTGAGTTCTTACATCCACTTAAAGCAAAGATGTACCGGCTGAAAACATCACAAACTGACATGTCTATTAAATACGGAACAGTTAGTACCTTTTTCACATAGAACTGGGTTTATTTTTTAAGATTCCAAATAATTTTGGCCACAAATTCAGTATGTGAGAAAATGAAAAACTGAACTTTAACAGAAGATTTTCAAAACTTTCACAGAAAATTGAATTTCCCTTCTGGGATAAATAAAGTATTTTTCATTTCATTTCAAAACTGTCCTGTGTGTGTGTTGGTAGAGTTATTTTTTAACTTGATTGTCTGCATGTTCCTCCTCAGTGTTCGTTGAGTTACTCAGTTCTGTTGCTGTTGAGTTTGTTATATTCTGAGATTAGTTTTTGCAGACCCCTCTTAGTTCATAATTACTTCATTTTCTAATTTTAAGGTAAATTAAAAACCCAATTTACATTTTTTTTTAAAGTCCATGACAGGTGCAAACTTTTTTCAGACTACATCCAATCAAAAAATTTCCAAAGATGTCTGTCCAAATAGACTTTAAAAAAAAAAAAAAAATCCTAGATACACTAAGATCTACCACATCACATTGTCTTATTCAGAAGTATCTGCGACCACTAATCCTCATCAGGCTCCTGTTTGCTGTCCAGGATGTTTGAACTTGCTGTCATACTTCTTCAATGTATCACAATGGCAGGCTGCAAGGTGATCAGTGGTTAGCACCGTCACCTCACAGCTAGAAGGTCGCTGGTTCCAGGATCTTTCTGCGTGGAGTCTCCATGTTCTCCCCGTGCAGCGTGGGTTCTCTCCAGGTTCTCCAGCTTCCTTCCACACAGTCCAAAAACATGTTGAGGTTAATTGGTGATTCTAAATTGTCCGTAGGTGTGAATGTGAGTGTGCTTGGTTGTCTGTCTCTAAGTGTAGCCCTGTGATAGACTGGTTACCTGTCCAGGTGAACCTGCCTTCGGAGTCAACTGGGATAGACTCCAGCCCCCCATGACCCCAGTGAGGATTAAGCGGTATATACATGATGGATATAACAATGGTGACCTGACCTGGTAGTAAAAGCAATTACCTTTGTGCCCAGGTATGTCGTCGACCTCAGGTGTCATGTGGTTCACAGTGTTCAGGACAGCAGCGCTGCCGCTTCTCCTGTAGGTGGCGCTGATGGCTTTTGCTTTAGTGAAGAGGAGTTAGCTCACATACAAATGAACTCATACAGATTTATGTTGCATTCCGGGAATCTTCTCGTCTGTGTAGCAGTTTTTTTCTACATTTTTCCTTCAAGGACATTCACCATCCAGCTGCACAACATCATGAACTTCACAGGAAGGAACTTCTGTCTCATCCGTCATGAATTTGTGCGCCCGGTGAAGATCACAATCAAAAGATGCAAATAAATTATCCAAATCAACAAACATCTAGTGACAGTGGAACAAAAAAAAGAAGTGACTGACTAATAAAACAGTTATTCACCTCTGGATTTCCAGTTTTATTTCTAACAACAGTTACCCTCCAGGAGGATGAGTGAGCTGTAATAACCAAATGTGGCCAGAAGAGGGCAGCAGATGGACGTTTTTGTGAGGTGGTGAGAACAAATCCACTGTGTAGTATGAAGTAGTTGTTAAGAGTCATTTTCATTAGACTCTTTTCCCTCCCTCATGTTTGTGTGCATACGTAAATCTTTGGTAATCGTTGAGATTCAGGTTTTCTCAGCTTGTTCGTCTCTTATCAGTGCTCTTAATGATTATCAGCTCTAGTAAGATGTTTTCTGCTGCGTGTTTGCACATGTGTAGCAGTTGGTAGATCTTTGTTTGCTTCTATTTTCCTTTTCACTTCTCTAAACTGTACACGTTTTCTTTTCTCTCTATCAGGTCCAGCATTTAAATTCAGCAATAAGCGAGCATTCAAAATAAATGAATGAAATAAAATAGAACGAATAAATGAATAAAAATCAGACTATCAAGAGGGGTCTCATATTTGGCAAAGCACATTTGTTCAGCACAACACAGCAGCCAGATCATCACTCTGCTCGCTATGATGCTGGACCGTCATTTTCATTGACCTTTAACGACTTATTGAGCAGGTATGACAAGATGTAACACAAACAAACTAAAGTATTGGTAGACTGCCTCATCTGAGTTTCAAAATCTTCAAATATAACTTAGAAAATCATATCTGGACACCACTTTGCCTCAATCCTCTGCCACTCACTAAACAGAGCAGCTGTGGTTAAATCAGGTTGTCAAGGCGTCCTGTTGTTTGAGAGCTCCGTCTCAGTCCCAAACAGGATAATGACTCAAATCACACATGTAAAAGTCCTGAGCGTCAACTGACTACTACGATCTTAATCAAGTTTACCACCTATGTGAAGATCTAAAGTCCTTCCTAATGAGAAAGAAGACGAGCTGAACACAGAGCAGCAAACAGCACCGACTGTCTCTAAAAGGTGTGAACCGAAATAATAAGTTAACGCTTTCTACACCTGTCCTCCTGCTTTATTTAAAACAGCCAAATGAAAACAAGGCTATCATGTCTATTACATGTGAAAATGCAGATGCCAGTTGCTTCTTTAAGTGGACGAGTACTTGTACTTTTTATTTACCTATTTGTCTATTTTAGTTCATAATCAGCTATTTTATTTTACTTTTTTGTGCTAAATAACTCGGTTTAAACCCCTCTTCCTGCACGCTCCCTGACTTTTGTTTCAGTTTCTAAAGATGCACATCCAAGTACGAAAACAAAATGCAGAATCCGCTAAGATTTACAGGTTTGAAAATGCTTTAATTCACTTATATAGCCACCCAAACATGACCGAATACAGATTATAGATGGATATAAGTAGGCACAAGCAGAGGTGGAAGTCCTCTGCATAGAAGTAGGCACACATAGCATACCTGGAAAACAACCGCCTGGTGTTTGGAAACACATCGGCGGCTGGTTTACTCCCCAAAACGCTGTGAATTTCAACCGTCCCATAACGCATCTCAGAGAGGATTTTTATAGGAAAAGAATAATTGCAGCTCAAGTCCAGTTTCACTAGCAAATGTCAACACGGAGCTCTACAGTTCTAAGCAAGAATGAGAAGTCTTTCTATGAAAAACAAACAAAAAAAAATCAGAAATCTGTTCATAAACCACTCAAACCAACCCAAAAAAGTATTTCTCAACAACGGCTGAGGAAGGCTCCCACATTTTAAGTCAGTTATGAGAAGGTTGAGACGTCAGCCACGTCTCCTCGGACACAGCTGAGAACATTACCTCCGCCCACCCCTCCGTCTTCACATCCACTATTCCCTTTTTGCCCCCTTTCCATTCCTCCCAGTGTCCCTCCCTCCCTCCCCACCCCGGCGAGGGTCAGCGTTCAGCTGCTGACGACGCGTCCGGCCCAGGTCTCGTGTTTGGTGCCCGGGTTCAGGTGGGTTATGGTCACCTCCACCGCCTGGACCTTCTCGTATTTGGGAGGGATGGAGCAGATCTTGTAGCTCATTTCGTCGCCTTCCACCGGCACGTACTCGCCCTCGATGCTGGAGGAGAGCCAAAGAGAGAAAGAGAGAAAGAGGTTCATCAATTATGAATCAGTGGAAGCAAAGTGAAAGTGATGCACTGGAGTCAAACCGCTGACGGAAAAAAACAAAAGAACATTTTACAGACAGCAGCAGAAGCTTCACAGGTGAACCAAATGCTTCAGCTGCATTTATCTACTGGATGTAACTGATCACTTTGCCGATTTAGTCTCACGATTTAGACTCACATGACTGCTATTAGCTACGTTTGTGCCTTTTATGTGCTACTATTGAATATGAGCCACATTCATCTAAAAATAAACACCCATCAATTCAGTCCACATGAGTCCACAAAGACTCATTTAACTATAATAACAAAAGATTTATAACCTTTTATTTTCTCCCACCAAGTCAGAGGAGTCTTTCAATAACAAATGGGCATTTAATTTTAGACTAATACCAGCAGCACCAGAGGACTGTTAAAGTGCAGACAACCTTCAAAGGGTGAACATTAGGGAGAATAATTTCATGAATAGTTTCGTAACGGTGCACGTCCCTCATGGAAGTGTTCAGCAACAAACATTAATCCAAACAGCGTGTTATGTAAACCCGTAAAATACTGACCTTAAACAATCACCAGCAGCCTGCGTGTCACGTTCCAGGAGGTTTTCAACAAAGGAAATGAAATACAAACGCGACGGCAGTCTCAAAAGCATCAAGACAATATAAACCAAACTTTACTGCTGCCAACAATTGTTATGATACCAAATATTGATCATGGCCGCTTGTAGTTGTGGTGGTGTGGGCAGCAATCTTCAGAGCTGCTACACAATATTAATGTTTATTGTCCAAAAATGTATTATTGCAAGGTGCATTTTTTAATGTTGTCATGATGCTAAACTTCTGACTTCAGTATGATGTCTGCCGAAACATTGTGGTACAGATGATGAAACAATGCCATCAGGAAAAGTAATTTATTATAAAGTAAATTCTTTTTTTTAAAAAATGCAGATATTTTCATTCAGTCGTGACTCGATAATCCGACCCTTGACAATCTTAAACCTTGCTATCCGACAGGTTTTTAGGAAAAACTAACAGAACCCATTAAAAACAGCCTTAACATACCGACAGCCTTGGATTCTGACTCCGACATGACATTTTCTGTCACCAATCAGGATGACGGCGTATTATCTGACTGAACAATCCCACAGATTGGCTACGTTCACACTGCAGGACTTTGGATTTTTTGTGAGTTTGTTCACATTTCCAGTTAAAAGCGACTTGTAGGTGATCTGCTGTGTGAACTTCATACGACCCAAAAGTGTCCCGCATACGCAGAAGAGGACACGACGACGTCACACGCAGCGAGCGTGCTCAGTGTTGGAAACAGAAGTGTGAGCGCTAACTAAACTAGCATCAGCAGCCAAGTACTGTCTGTGCGTTCTGGCCACTTCCACCCCGTCAGAGCGCTCCCTGGTGGTGGAAATGGTCCCCCGACCACGCCAAATATTCTGATATTCATCATTAATTGGGCCTGAATATCCAGAGACCAGAAAGTGATATTGGGACCAGCCCTACTAGTTATTATAACAACTATGAACAATAAATATGAACAACAAATGAGCCTTCAAGCATCAAGCCCTCCTTGGATCTCGACCTCCGTCTTGACAATCCGACAGCCTTGATATCAAACATAAAAGAAGGTTCTACATTTAGATTATCGAGTCACGACTGTATTATCAATGCGAGGCAGTGGAGGATGTGAATAGAAGCCAAACAGGACTGAACCGCTGTGCCACAGTGTGTTCATACGCTTTTCTATTTGAATTGGAGAAACTCTGTATTAGGAGCAGCTCTTTACAAATCCACGTCTCTTCACCTTCACATGTTCTGCTTATAGAAGGTTGAATCCTTGCAGAGGTAAATGGGGGCAGCACTTCACATGTAAATCACTCTCTTTCACTCTTTCTGGAGGAATTTAGTTCCGAGTTTAGAACTAGTGTTGCTGATCTGCAGACTGTGATTTTTATCAGCTTGTTAGCAGCAACTTAGAACGAAGCGTTTCCATGTACGTAAGTCAGTCAAACGGACAGTTCTGTTATCTCTTTGCCAATTAGCTTGACAAAACTCAAAATAAAACCCATCGTTTGACTCATATTTCAGGGCATGATGCACTTAAACGTTAAATTAGCTAACCTGTTGCTCTTTGAATTCGTTGAACACGTGGGCATGTCTGTTGGAGTGACACTTTGCTGAATTAGTGGTGTCGACTACATCAGCAAAAAAAAAAAGTTCCATATTTCGCTTCGTGCTTCCGCCTTAGCCACGAGCTGTGTACGGTTGGCATCGGCGCTTGGTTTTGCAGCCATGTCTTGGGGCTATGAAAGCTGCCGGAGAGAAAAAAAAAAGCAGTTGGCACGCCCACTCGGCCTGCAGGGAGTGGAAGCAGAGTGTTGCAAACACACACTGCCCTGCTGTGGCACAGCGACGGAAATGCTGCTCTGAGCAAAACACCACCGATCCACGGACGTATCGATAACACAGGATTTAAATTTTTTATTTTTTTAACAGCAAGTTATCACGATTCTTTTCTGGCATTACAGTCATCCTCAGATGTATTCCTACATTCCCATTAAAGAAGGAAAACAAACAGCTGTCAGTGAAATAAGTTTAAATTGACAAAAGTAATAATAAATAAAAATTTAATGAAAATCATGACATTGATTTTGAATTGTGGTTCAACAGAAATATATATATATATAAACAAGCATGATGGGACCCGTAAACAAACATTTTGTTGAACAACCCTTTGAGCCAATCAAGTGTTTTCTGTGACTCTCAGGCAGACTTCTGCACCTGTTGACAGGTATTCTGGACCCACTGCTCATCAGCAAAGTGCTCTAATTTGACCATTTTTCTTTTTTTAAAATTATTATTTTTAACCACAATTCAAAAGCAACGTCTTATTTCACTAAATTACAATTTAGCAAATTTTTATTTATTATTACTTTTTTCCGTTTCTAGTTATTTGACTGGCTATTATGGATTTTGCCTTTTCTTTAATGGAAGGAGATGAATATTTATGTTCTAATCCGCCTCAATTATATGCAAATGATTCGCACATGAAGCTAGAAGGAATAAAACTTCCTTCTGCTGTGAACTCCTTGCATGGTTTGAATGACAATAAAGTTTATTTTGATCTTTTTGTTGTTTTAAATTCAGCCATCTCCCTGTAAACATGCTACAATCCTTTAAGTTAAGCTAGAAAAACAACTTTAATATATTACACTGCATGTCATGTTGTGTTTGAGTCACAAGCTTCCATATGGAGGGTCCAAAAAAAGACTTTTGGATCCATGTTACTGTGTCCTGTTTTACTTCACACACTGTGCTGCCCTTTCTCTTTTTTTTTTAATGTGCATGTAGGTGTTTAATTGTGCGAGCATGTGTGGCGCTGCTGACGTCTATGTGTTTTAAGCCTGTGGCTGATAACAAAAGGCACGGCGGTGAAGGTCATCAGATATTCTGTTGTCCTCCTACACACTCCTGCAGCTACTGCCATCCCTCTGTGTGCTTCCCCTCCACTCCCACACAGATGCCGGCGATAAAAACCCAAAGCAGCCCTCCCAGACACACCTCAGCAGCGGGTTTCACAAGTTTCACCTCCTCCGGAAAACATCGACGAACCGCTTGTGTGTTTGTAAGAATCACTGTTATCCCAACAACCAGGACTCACCCACAGACTCATTCAAATACTTACTCTGAGATGTGGACAAAGATGTCGCTGCCGCCGTCCGATGGCGTGATGAAGCCGTGGCCTTTGGAGCGGGAAAAATATTTACACACACCGCTAAACATCGGACCCTCCGCTGCACGAGCCGTCCTGTAGAGTCAGATGAAGGGATGAAAAAAAAAAAGACTGAGCCATGAAGAACTTGATAAATATTAACTCAGCGTTTAGTGAAAACAGGGTGTTTTGATGAGTTAGAAGTGGATGTTGCAGAATCACGTGACAGTTGTTTATGCTTAGAGGGACCCCCGTTCACGTTATACTGAGGAATTTGATCCATTGTTCATATAAAAACAGAACATCATTACTGGATGCTGTTCCACACATTGTGACAAATGCGGGCGTTAGGCATGCATCGCCAATCACGTATAATAAACAGCATGTGTGGCTGCCTTCCTACGAATCTCTAGCCCACAGTTTGAAAGCTGTGTATGTGAAGAGGGAATTACAGAATATAAATATGCTAATTATCTATATAGTGAAAGCATAGGTAGGCATAGGTTATAAGCATAGGTCTTGTACACGCGAATAGATGAATCATGAATGTGTAAATTAAAATTCTGTCCACACAACTGCTGTTTTACGAAATATCTCTGCACACATGATGAGCAGAAATGACTACCAACGCTCTAAACAGCACCTCGGGGCAGTCTGCATCAACATTACATCAAATAATAGGCCAGACTGTCATGTTATTATTTCTGGCAGACTTTAAATTACACACCGTGGATGAAGAAACGTTGGGCGCAGCAGGCCCAGAGGCTTTTGTGAAGTGAAGTGATGCAGCTAAGCCAAGTTAAATTGTGAACTTGTAAGTGATAACCACATGTAAAGAAACTAGTTGTAGTTTCAGCCACATGTTCAGCACACAAAGCGATAACAGGCATGTGTGAATGGAGGTGGGACGTCATCGCTTCAGATATTCTTTGTTCTACAAGTCCAGAAAAGTTTGCACTTTAGAAAGCGTTCAAAAACAAAAAATCTCTACTCGAGTGACTTTAAACCAGGGGTCTCAAACTTGTGGCCTGCAGAACGATATCTTGTGGCCCCCAACTTGACATCAAAGTTTAGTGCGACCCGTGCATTGTTCGCACATTCACCTACGCAAGTCATTGCTCTTTTATATTTTTTATCACTTGTGGGCCACCGTAGCTCAGACTCGTGACAGCAACATGAATTAGCAACGTTAGTCACTTGAAACATGACTTGGGTGTGTCACCGAGTTTTTTTGTTTTTTGCTTTTTTCTCTTTGTGTGAAAAGTTCTTCTCCACCATGAACTTTAATAAGTCAAAGTACAGGTCCACACTTACTGATAAGCATCTTCAAGCCACACTGAAGGTCTCAAATGCCTCCTCTCTCAAGCCAAATGTGGCTCAGCTGTGTAAGAGGAAGGAGTAGGTAGGAGAAGCCCATGTTCTGAAGAAGCTTTCATGTTCTGAATTGTTATTAATAAAGATTGAGAAGATTGGATCAGTTGTACTTCTTTTTGGAATACTTGATGCAGCCTCACTCAGACTCTATCTCCAGCGGCCTCCAGGCACCTCTGCTTTAAACCTTGTTTGCATGTGAATTAAAGGTCCTGAATGTGAAGAAAAATGCTGGTTTTGCAAACTTAATAATACTCATGTGGACAAAACTATCGTAGGATTCTTTGACAAAAAAACAAACTTGATGCCAGTTCTGCTTATAAATAACAAACGCCTCCAAAGAAAAGTTTCCTGCGCTGGTTGGAAGATCCCCCACGCGTGGTGTCGGTATTTCATTGCTTACACAGATGTTCTTGCTTAACATGCTAATCTAGCAGCCTCCCATCTGAACAAACTGATCAGGCTGAAGCGTCCAAAAAGAAAACAGTCGCAATCAAATGAGGCAAGCACGATGTAAAGGACTAGATTGAGTTCAATGTGATTTTCCACCAGTACCTCATAAATGCATCCACACACAGCAGTGGGAACAGCTAATATTCCTTCTTGTTTCACTGGCTCGAGGAGCTGTTTCAGCTCATTTGGTTCAAGTGTGTAAATGTGTGTGTTCTTACGCTGAGCAGGTCCTGTTTCTGCGTGTGGGCAGAGGGCTGGGGATGAGGTAGCCTCTCATGGGGGAAGGTGAGCGGTCTCTATGTCTGCAGGCTGGAGGCTGCAGGGACTCTGAGGGGATAAAAAAAACACAAGAGTCACAAAGCGTGTCCTGATATAATCTTCTACAGCTGTCTTAGTGGTGCTGTAATGATTTCTCTGCATTTTAAGACCTCCTCCTTGTAGCTGCTCAACATGTCCATATGGTGTTTTTTTTTTTTTTTCACATGCTACAAGATGCATCATCAGTGAAATAAGCACTCGATGCCAAGACTTCAAACTTGAGATTCACACATAATATTACGTAACTGGTGAATCAGTGGAGTGCCCCTTTAAAGTAGATGATCATGCAATATTTCTCAGTCTGTGCATCTTAGTCCCTTCTGCCAGAGAAGTGAGGAAAGGAGGCGAGGAAGAGAGGAGGTGAAGCAACAGGCATCGAACAAAATGATGAATTCTGGCTTCAGAGCTGAGAGATGATGTCATTTAATGTGATGTCGTGACAGCTGCATCGCCTGTCCGTTTGTTATAACTTTTTTTTATGATCTTGATTCACAACGTGTCCTTCATACGCAGAAAAAAAAAAAAAAAAAAAAACTTCCACTAAGGATGCATCTTCGTGAGATTTGAGCCTTTTACCTGGAGAACGTGGGGATCCCGCGGTGGGCAGCGGAGGGGTGACGGGTCGAGACCCCTGGATGGGCGTGGCCTGGGAGGACATGTCGGAGGAGGCGGAGTCAAAGGGTGGGGAGGAAGGAAGGAAGGAAGGAAGGAAGGGGGTCACTCGCTTCTTAAACACCTGCAGAAATGAAGGACAGGAAAAATAGATTTAGTCGTCGCAGTTGATTGATTTAATGCTCGACCACAGTGTGAGTTTCTTTAAGGGCATCGTCTTTCTCAATCCAACCCCAGCAGCACAATACTGAAAAAAAACTCTCCCACCAAATCAGTGACCAGCTGGTGGCATGCTCGAAGCCCTCATTACCATGGCAACAATAATTTGGGGACAGGCCGGTGCCGCTGCGACCTGACAGGGACCGCCGAGGAGGAGAACAGTCCTCTCATTCACCTCGGCCCGGGACTTACATCATCTGCCATTACATCAGCAGCCATGCCAACCAATTAGGGAAAGGCAGAAAAGAAAACCTCCATTGATTTCTTCTTTCCATTACTGGTATATTGTTTAAAAAGAACACAGAGGAAAAAAGATGGAGGGGGGGCTGTTAAACAAATATAATAAAAGGAAGCAGTTCAGTGAGCACCTGGATTCAACGTCTGTATGTTTCTAGGAGGAGAAGAAAAGGAGGATTTTTTTAGGTTTCCAAAAACAAGGATTGAATACGATTACATATGAGCCCAATTTACAAAAAAAGAAAAACATTGGGACTTAGGTTGCCTGTTGAGTGCCCTAACTTGGATCAAATGACAATACAAAGTGCCCAAAACGAATTATAACAGCTCTCCTCAGCTCTACTGGGGGTTTTAACATCTTTTGTTTTGTTTTTGTTCGCTGGCCTGCAAACTCTACTGTCCCGGCAGAAAAGATAGAATCACTTTGCGATCCACGCCCAGCACCAAACAAACAAACGTAGTGACTAGTCAGGTATGAAAGTGGAGCATTTAGCAGCTAAAATGTCATGTTTTTCCACCTACGGGGAGCTGGAGAACATTAGCTTAGATTTCCAAGGCTATGTAAACTGTAAACCTTTCTACAATCTCAAAGAGCCACTTAAGGAAAAGGCATCACAATTCAAGCCAAAAATGGCATTTAGGGTGTTTTTAGTTGTTCAGTGTAATCCAAATGTAATCCAAAAGTGTGTAAAGGTTACGGCCACGTTTACACATAGCTGGGTATTCGCAAAAACGGATCTACGCAACAACAAAAACTTCCTGTTACTTCAACGATAATGGCCCGAGGGTCGTTTGTTTGAACCGACAGAAGTGGAGCTACTCCTAAATGTGGTGTTAGAGGACAACACAAGTAAAATTCTTGAAAATATTAACGGGGAAACATGTCAGTCCAAGTACATGGATGTTGCCAAACTGTAAACACGGTCGCATACATGACGCTGATGACGCTTTTGTCGCATATTGTGACGTCAAACTCCGTTTTCTCCTGTCTACATGCAAAGACGGAGTTTTTCCAAATCTCCACTGTGGCCGGAGTTTTCAGATCGTTTTCGGTGACTTGTAGCTTTGTTAACGTGTGAACCAAAGGCCCAAACGCATTGAAATGTCACCGTTTTTGATACGTGTAAAAGGCGCCTAAGTTAGTTAGCTAATAACTCCCCACGCCAATCAATTAATGCAGCTTTAAGCAAAATAGCCCCAAGAAACTGATTGTTTTGGCAAAGAAATGAATGACACGACAGCAACCCCAGGCTATCTCTGTTATTTAGAGGTTTTCTCTAAATAAAATAATTATGTTTTTAGCTCTACGGACTCTCAGTTTGTCAGTAGATCAACTTAAATGGCTACCAACAGACGAATTCCTCTGACTTTGGTCATCCTTGTATTATTTACATCTAACCCACACATGAAAATTGTAAGTTTTGGCTTCGTACGTAATTTCTTGAAAACTTTCTGATGAAATTTTGTGCCGACATGCATGGCGCACAGCGGAATAACTGTAACCACCCTGGTGGTGCCTTAACCTTTTCATTTAGCTCCAGTCAAAAAGTGGTTAGTCTAACGCTTCAGCTGCACTTTCTATCTAATGGTAATTAGCAAATGTGCTATTCTGTTGCCGTGCTAACATGCTAAACCGGGATACTGTGCATTAGAAATACTGCTTAACATCACAATGTTAGCATTAGCTGTGCCTAAGCATGGTTTGAAATGATTTTACTGATCTATTCATGCTAATTAATTGACTATAAACCCCAAACTCAAGTGTTGATAAAGTTTGCAATACAACAATAGAGAGCTTTAGGGTGGCTGGAATTACTCTGCATCATTGCTGAGAATATTTTAAACAGACACATTTTTCTTCTGCATTATTGTGTAACTACTGCATCGGTTGTCTTTGGCTCCAGTCATTGGTCAGCTGCACAGTTTTAGATAAAGGAGGCTGCAGCATTTCAGTGTAAAAAATTTCCAAAGACTCAAAGCTTCCAAAGTCTGGAAGCACAAAACAAAAAGGTGGTTTGTACACGGTGCAAATTTTAGATGGCAGCACAATGCAACATCACACAGGTGCTATTCTGGAAGAAGGCAAAAAAACACCCAAAGTGTTGTCTGTTCGTCAGGGGTGGATTTTAATGTCTTTTGTCCTTGTGGCTGCTAAATGCACGCATGAAGCTCCGAGAACATTTCAAGGTTCAGCAATCGTTTCCATGAATCGACTCGTCTGCAAAATAGTCAACAGATGAATCATCTTTAGCTCCAGAGAACTTTTTGTAATCTGATCAAAAGCAGTGCTGATAAGAAAACGGTCGGGCTCAGTGATATAATGGCACAAAGATCAAGGCTGTGGTGCTTGTTTTGATGGATTATCGAGCTCTGTGGCACCTGGTTTCTAAGAGTTATTGAGCAGAAAGCACAACCACAGATATATATCACTCTAACAACTGTGAGCAGACAAACCAGAAATACAAGAACAGGGCAGATGATTAATGGTGAAAAAAAGTTATAGCAGCAGCATGCATCCAGAGGCTCTTGGAAGATGTGTAGGTTTGTGCAAACTTGCAGGCCGTTTATCTGTTGTAGTTGTTGGTGAGAGCGCTTTCAAATTTGCAGCATGTGTATCCAGGAAGGTTTGCTCAGGACAAAGGCCACTTGTTTAACAAAGATAACTCTGGCAGCAGGGGTCCGAGCACACAGAGCACAGCGAGCATGGCATCTGATCCGTCTTAACTCAATAGACATGAGGCTAATGTAATCACGGCCTCTCTGGACAGCGTGCTTCCTTCACGATCGGCCATCAACACGCACTTAGACATGGATTTTCTGTTTATGCTGCGGGAAGAGCGACGTCCGCAAACAATGGACATCATGTCAACACACACTCGAGGTTGCTTTTTCATCTCCCATGTGGCTAAAATGACTGCATAAAAAATAAGAGGGGAGGGAAAGTAGCTGCTCGAGAACAGCAGCAGGGAAGCAGAAAGGGTCTCTACAAGAAGAGAGGGGCAGGAAAACGGAAACATGGCAGATAAGGGAGAGATAACGCCAGAGGGAGGCTTGGAAAACATGATAAAGCGAGTACAGATTTAGCTTGTGAAGTCGTACTCCCTAATACTTGCTGCTTTAAAGGGTCACGATCAGGGTGTTGCATGGTTCAGTTAAACAAGCAGAAACACTTTACTTTAAATTCGGCAAACTACTGCAAATTTTCCTGCAGCTTTTCAGACAGCGGGGCTTTCAGTCGATCCAGAACGGTATGAAAAACAAGTTGAAACTTCACCTCAGCCTCCATTGCTAATACTTTACTGGCTCTGTTTATAAGTAGTGCGGTTTTGGTGGCGCCCTCGAGGATTCTGACTCTAAAAAGGTTTGCGCTCATAAGCGATTAATGCTTTTCAGAATCTTAACACAAAGCAAACTTCTAAAAACCAGAGCTGCAGCTAACAATTACCTTCATTGTTGACTAATCCACCTTTTATTCAGTCTGTTAATCATTTCGACTATAAAATATCATTAAAAATCTGCTGATCTGATCTGATTCGGATGCCTCCGGAGAGGCTTCCTCTGGAGGTCTTCCGAACATGTCCACTTGGGAGGAGACCCCGGGACAGACCCAGAACCCACTAGAGGGATTATAGCTCTGGGCTGGCCTGGGAATGCCTCGGGATCCCCCAGGAAGAGCTGGAAAGCGTCGCCGGGGGAGGGAAGTCTGGAATGACCTGCTCCACCTACTGCCCCCGCGACCCGACCCCGGATAAGCAGAAGACAATGGATGGATGGAATATCATTAAAAATGTGTTGTAGTTTCCAAGGAACAGAGGTGCTAAACATCCAGTCCCTTAATTCATGAACAATATCAAAGACATTCTGTTTATGACAAAGAAAAATGACAAACCCTGACAATTCTGAAGTTGCACAAGAATTTTCTAAACCTCTGATTTAAAAAAAATGACAGTAACAAATAAAATATAATCAACTGACTGGGCGGCTAATCAAAGTAATTATTCTAGCTCTCGACAAGACAAACTATGAGGACCCTTGAAAAGTAAAATTCTCAGCAACTGTAATTTCATAGATTTCCAAGGATTCTCGCAAGCAGCAATGGGGACATTTGGAAAATAAGTGCTCGCAACTTTGCAAAATTAAATATCAGTAAATTTTCACTCTCATGGACCAAAGTATGGCAACAGCTAGTGATGCTAATGATCATATATTAATCAATACAGCAGAAGATAAGAAACATGCACGTCAGAACATGTACTGTAATTAGCTGTAATGCCTGGTTGCGCCACCAGATGGCGCCACTATTTTTTAATAAGATGGAAAACTGCAGCTTGTCTGTGGTGTTTGATACAAGAACAGTTAGAACATTGGTGTTATGTGATGATCCAATGTTTCTGAATGGACTGCTTTGTTATTTCGGTTGTGTTGTTTCTGAATATTGATTGCTGTGGATGAATGAGGTGGTTTTCGGTTTTTGTGGGGCTTCCAATGGGCCACCATGACAGAGACTTCGATAACAGTTCACAGTGTCCAGCCAGTTTAATGTGGGCGGCAGTCATGTTGCAGTTTGGCACTTTGGACTCGTATAACACTTTATCAGGCGTTTATTGTACCAAGCATTAAACAGCTGTTCTGGTTAGGCTGTAATTATGTGTTATACAGTCGTCCTCA